CTCCCCCTGCCTTTAAAAAAAATTTATATTCATATATATATATTTGGTATAATTATATCAAAGATGGACGACTATTTATGTTGATTTATATATATATATATATATATATATATATATATATGTATGTGTATTTGGTATAATTATATCAAATATATGTACGATTTATGTTGACTTATCAACATAGAGAAAATTATGCATATATTTTTTGCTTTCATATTTTGCAAAAAAGAATTTTGTATATATTTGGTATAATTATTTTTTGAAGATGTAACAATATTTCTTGTACAATCTTCTTCTTCTTTCTCTTCTTTTTATTTGAATCTTACCTACTACGCAAGTACAAAGACGAAAGTTATAAGAGTGAAAATAATAGCACCACCGAGCCTTGAAACAATGGAATCTGCTGACGAACTGACGATCTTAGCTTTCCTAGGAATATTATTCTCAACGTCGTTCGTTTCTAATTTACGAGGACATCCCATCCAAAAGGGTGCCGAGAGTTTCTGTTTCTCGTGAGCGACTTTCATTCTGAGATCGTCGAACAACCAGAAACCTTTACCTTTGAAGAAGTACGTCTTGCCTGGAAAAAGAGAGAAAATTATTTCGTTATTAAGTAAAAAAAAGGAGTTCTTCCCTTTTCTCAAAGGTTCATTATTATTAAAAGACGACTTTGTAAAAACGTTTCAGAGACAATACATTACTATATCATTATTATTATTATTATTATTATTATTGTTATTGTTATATTATTAATATTTACCATCTTTCCATTGAAATACAGCATCGATGTCGTTACCAACGCCACCGAAATTGCTACTTATGTCTCTTGGATAATCCAACTCGACATAATTTACACATTCATCGAACCTGAAATGATAAGATTTCAATGAACACTACAACCTTTGACAAAAGAACAATTATCTTTTATCTTTACATACAAAACTCTATATAAAATCCAAATTAGATGTGTACAAAGTTACATTACGATTTTAAATGTTAATTATTTTTCTCTGTTCTTTTTTATTTTTTTATTTTTTTTTTTAAAAGTCTTTCAAAGACTCATTAGTTGAAGATCGTAGTTTTATAATCTGAACAAATAAAAAAGAAAAAAGAAAAAAAAAAAAGAAATTAGTCCCATAAAGTCTCAAAAAAGAGATTAACTAAATTCAAAAATAATCCAATAATCCCTTTTTGATATCCATCATGTTAACTTTTATCAAAAACAATTAACTTTCCTTATACAAAAACTAAAAATTGTGAAAAACTTTTGCTAAAACTTTTAGATAAAAGGTACAATAAATAAATAAATAAATAAAAAAAAAAAAAAAGAAAAGAAAAGAAAAAGAAAAAAATACAGATACATATTTGTACATGAATATGTGGACTTTGAAAATTTACATTACTTTAACATAAATAGAGTTTAAAAAAAAAAAAAGGAAAAGAGATTTGTTATCAGTTTGACGGATTACAACACTAGAAGTTTCCTTCTTGATAAAATTTCTTCGAATTTTTTTATAATTAGGATGTTAACGTTAAAGTATAGAAAAGAAAACAAGAAAAAAAAGATATAAAAAAAAAGAGAGAAAGAAGAGCTATGATGTAAGATATAAAAAAATGATCCTCTTTGTTAATACCTCCAATACATAGAACCGCTAAAGAAATAAGTTCTACTATTGTGTCCCCAAACCATAGCCCCGTCGATTTTCTCTAAGGAAGCCGGAAGTCCAAGATTTGTTAACGGTTTCGGATATCCTGATTCAAGATTATTAGCACTGAAGACGTAGTACTTTTTCCCAATAAAAAAGACTATTTTCTTGTCGGGCCTTTCATAAACTGCATCTACGTGATCAATGTCCTCTGGTAGATTGAACAGCCTCGTGATCTCCGCCGGATATCCTTCGTACAATCCTTTGTCACCGATTCTCCATAGATACTTATGGGAACGATTCAAAATTTTTTATTCAATAGAGATATATAAAAAATACACTACACCAATCTTTCACCGCAGGATAAAAACAAAACAAAGAAAGAAAATATTTTAATAAATTTAAAAGATAATATATACTTACGCGTCCCTTAAATATGAACACTTCTCTACGTATGATACTAATTGCGTCATAACTGGTATCACATTTATCTGGTACGTCATTCCTAGGTGATTGGGTCCACCTGAACCTAGGTCTTTGAGAAATCGTTGGTCTAACTGTTGTCGTAGTAATTGCCGGCAATGTGGTCGTGTGATGTCTATGAGGTTTGTGAGGTCTCTGGGGTCGATAGTCCGGCCTCTCAGTTCTGTAATCTGGTTTCGACGGATAACGATCTGGTCTTCTAGGTCTACCATAGTCCGGATAGTGATTGGGTCTCGTCGGTCGTGTTCTCCAGGGTCTGTAAGTCGTTGCTAATGTCGTTGTCGTCGTCGTCGTCGTCGTTGGAGGTGTTGGTCTTTCTGGTGGAAACACACCACCAGGTATATTACCCCATAATTTTTCTTCAGGTGCACCTATTTAAACATGAAACATTATTACATGTACACTTTTTATAATCCAACTTTTTCATTTACATTCATACACATATATACACACACATATATATATATATTGGATCTATACTTTGTTCATTAGTTTTTGAATACAAACAATTAATTTCTATTTCATTATAGACATTTTTAAATGAAATATTTCTAAACACCACTGTAGCCTTTCTAATTGTATTAATTTACCAATTGATATCCAATTATATTATATCTCTTTAAAATTTCCATTTCTACCAATAGAATAATGTTTATAAATTAATACAGTAGAGTGGAATAATAATATATATTTTTGGAATGTCCAGAAAGAGAGAAGAAGGAAAAGAGAAACAGAGAAGATGGAAAACGAAAGATAATTAATATTCGTAGCCAGGGAAGTTAGCTAATTAATGCAATCTTCAAACGAACAGCGCAAAACCGTGGATAGAGAGAAACGTTATCGACTTGATGATGGTGGTGGTGGTGATGGTGGTTTGGTGGTTGCCAAATTTAATCTCTTCTAATCGTTTGATGCAATTATAACGAAGATTATCGATAATTGCATCTAATCGTTTTATTCCTCTCTCTCTCTCTCTCTATTTCTTCGACACTATTTCCTTCCCACTCTTCTCGTTATTTTTTCTCTTCTTTTTTTCCCCTCTATCCACCCACATACCTTGTCTTTTAGCGTATAGAGTTTCGTGCCAAGATTCTTATAGTCCTATAGAGAGAGAGAGAGAGAGAGAGAGAGAGAGAGAGAGAGAGAGAGAGAGAGAGAGAGAGAGAGAGAGAGAGAGAGAGAGAGAGAGAGAGAGAGAGAAATAGAAGATACGAGACTTGTATTAACGAGATTATTTATCTTCGTCCCTTTAATCGATTCTATTCGGTTTACTCCTCAATCTAAATCTTTGAATCTTTGATTTCAGAAGTGGAATATGAGAGATTTTTTTCTAATAAAAGGAGAAGGTTTCATTAAAAGGCAAAAGAAAAAAAGTAATATAAATTCAAAAATTTTTTTGACAAATTATTATCACATACCATTATCTAAATTCAATGAATTATCATATCTACGTGGAAATTTTATCCTTTAAAATCAAAATTCATCTTCAAAGATGAATGTCAGTTTATTTTAACTGTTTTTGTCGATTTTATACAGTTTTTTTTCTCTCTCTCTCAAGTAAAGTAAGTAATTAGAATTGGAGTATTTTTTTATCATTAAAAATTCTTGTTAAGGAAGAATAAATAGTCAAGAGAAATACAGAGAAAGGAGAGAGAGAGAGAGAGAGAGAGAGAGAACATGATTTTATTCATATATGAAAGATTAATCATTCCAACAATATTCTAAGGACATGTACATATATATATATATATATGTAGATATATATTTATACATATATATTAAATATATATGCATATAGAAGATGTGTAAATTGTCAAATTAGGATGCAGTGTTCGTAGTTTCTCTATTTTATGCTATTTCCGTTAGTACATAAATTACTACCTCTATCCTTTAACATCTTACCCTTCCTCCCTTAAACTAAGACCTCACAATTTTCCCTTTAAGAACCAATTCTCTCTCTCTCTCTCTCTCTCTCTCTCTTTTATATATATATATATGTATGTATATGTGCTATGTAATGCATATACATGTACATTACTAATTTCTCTTTCAGACAAATATATATATATATATATATATATATTATACTTCATAAGAAATAAATTTGTAACAATTATGGAATCGATATTACAATACTCAATTCTCTTTTTGATAGTAATAATATCTTCCGAATTAATTTCTGCGTTAATTATTTGCCGGGAAATATCGTGTTTCGATATGGAATTAGATTAAGTCCAATTAAAAAACGTATACACGCTATTATTATTTTTTTCGGAGTATTAAAAATACAAAGAAGAACAAAAAAGAAAGGAAGAAAAAAATACACAACGTATATTAAAAAATTAATTTTCTTACTTTCATAAAAAAAAAAAAAAGAAAAAAACATTGAAATACTCGAAACGTATTCGACGTATATTATATGAGGATAAGATAAGTATATATCTTTTATAAAAAGATAAAGAGATAAATAAATAGATGAATAGATGGGATGGATAAATAGACAGATGGATAAATAGACAGGAGAGAATTTTATACGTAAATATAAGAATCTTGAGTAATCTTTGGGCTCATAGTTATCCTAGAAAAGTTAGTAGATTCTCTCCTTGGAATACGAAATTAGCCCTTGGCTTGCTCATTAAGGCGAACTTGGATGATGGTACTGGCAATTACGAAGGACTTCCAACGCGGATCTCGACCACCCAAGGCTTCCCATTTTACCCATCTCTACCTTGTCCACCCTTCCTCACCCCCTCCACCATCTCCCGCCGACACAATCTCTCTGCTAACATTAGAGAAACAACATCTTCTGGTCCATCTGTCTCTCACTTTCATATACTCATACATATACACGCACATTACATATATGCATGCACAAACACATATATAATATATATATATGTATGTATTTGATTCGCTTCGAGCTCTCCCATCACGTATTTCCACAATTAATGTGGGCTCGATATGATGATACGAATGTACCAAGCATAATGATGTTTCTTACGAATACTAATAGCTCCTGATTTCAAATAAAAGTTAAAGAGATATATATATATATATAGAGTGAGAGAGAGAGAGAGAGAGAGAGAGAGAGGGAAAGAGAGAAAGAGAGAAAAGATATGCAGATATAATAAAGATACATATATATTTATATATACACAATATTTATTTATTATCTACTAATTCTTTATGTATAGATATGTATAGATATGTAAAATATATAGGACGATATAAATATATGTGTACTGAAAAAAATGTGTAGTGAATGATAGAGAGAGAGAATGAATAAAATTCTCTCTCTCTTTTTCTCTCTCTCTCTTTCTCTCTTCCTCTCTCTTTATCTTTCTCTCTTTTTGCCTCGTACATGAGAAGTTAACCTCAAAAGTTTTTTATACCCTCGGGAGATCATCCTGAAAAATTTTCATCCTCGATAATAATATGATTTAAGGATAAAAATGGAAATCCAATTTAACAGGATAATTGGTTGAAGGGATAGTTTATCGAACAATTCCTTGAATCTATTTCTTTTCTTTTCTTTTAATCGTTTTCCTTCTTCTTGAATAAATTTTTATACAAAAAAGAAAAAAAAAAAAAGAAAGAAACAAATTATCGATTCTATTTCAATTTATTTTAGGTTAGGAAAAATGAATGGAGGATAAATAAGTGATCGATCTAAAGTAATGATTAAAATTATTGACTTTTATTTTAATTAATTTGTCAATGATTTTTGATCTGTTTTTATTTTATTCTCTCTCTCTCTCCCTCTCTCTCTCTCTCTCTCTCTCTCTCTCTCTTTCTTCTTATTTACTTGTTTTTTCTTTTTTTTTTCATTCTCTTATTAATTTTATAAAACAAAATTACATTTTATGTATATATATATAAACGTATAAAATACTCGAAGTGTCTCTTCTTTTCTTTATTTATTTATTATTTTTCCTTTTCATTTTTTAAGAGATAAAAAAATAAGAAAATGCGATGGCGTCAAACCGGATATATACCATTTCACACAATGACATTTCTCATTTTTCATCCTATTTTTACGAATAAACATTTACACACACACGTATAAAAACAAAAGAAATTGATCATATTTCCAAATATTTTTCTAACAAATGCGTTCCCGAATAAAATTCAATTTGTTTGAAATATGTGTCTTGCTTGAATTCGGAAGTAAAAATTCACGAAATTGAAGGATCAAAGAAAACTCTTCAATATATATATATATATATATATATATATATATATATATATTTATATAAATCGTATATTCAAGAAACATTTCTCATTTTCTATTTTATTTTATTTTATTTTATTTCTTTCTTTCTTTTTTGTTTTATTCTTTTCATTTCCTTTTCGAAAAATCGTTTATTTATTCGACACGAAAAGACAGAAACGTAGCAGCAGCAGCAGATGAGAAAGCCAAAAGTAAAAAAAAAAGAAAAAAAAAAAAGCAAGAACTTTTTCTCCCAGCATTATTACGAAATTTTTTTTTTACCGTCGACTCGTCGCGGTTGTGAAATAAAAAAAAAAAACTAAGAATCATAGGAATTGGGGATAGAAGACTGGATAGGTATACGAGTGAGGGGTTGGTGGGGGTGGTGGTTATATATCGTTAAAGTCAACGTCGCGAAATATGTTTTATGCATGTCGCGGAAAACGAAGAAGTTTACGTACTCTACTCGTTCGTTGAGTACCTAACGATCCTTCTTTTTTTTGTTTCTTTTTTTTTCTTTCCTTTTTTCTTTCCTTCTTCCTTCCTTTCTTTAACCCCACCCCCACCGCCACTTCGACCTCAACCCCACCGCCGCCCGGTGGCCGTATTATACCCACTTACTTTTGATACTCATGGGGATAGTCATTTTTCTCGAGTAAATTCTTTCTCTAACCATTTATCTTTCTCCTTACACACTTTCTTTTCGCATGAGATTTTTTTTTCCTTTCTTCCACTTGTTCCACGATGAAACAAAAAGGAAAAGGAAAAAAAAAGAAAATATATCGGTACAAAAAAATTACGACAACCGAACGATAAGAATTATTTTCCGTCGAAGAAAACTTTTTCTTCCCTCAAAGATATAGGATTAGTAGTGTGGTGTGATCGTTCGTAATTTTTTTTCTTTTTTTTTTTTTTTTTTTCATTTTTTAATTACGACCAAGTTCGAAATATAGATAGAAAATATATCTTTAAAATAAAATAAAATAAATTAAAAATAGAAAAAGAGAGAATGAGAGAAATTGTTTTCACGAGAAAATAACAAGCGCGAGAGTACACTAATACTAAGAGAACACCAACGAAAATATTGCGAAGGGGAGAAAATGATATAGAGGAAGAAATAAAACTGTACGGTGTGATAATAATCGACTCGTTTAGCTCGCT